GAATCTAATTCTTTAAAATTTAAGCAAATGAACTTCAGTAAAACCAGGAAAACACCAGCTCACTAAACTTCCTTGTTTTCAGCCATTAGACTGTAACCATTTCAGACATTAGACCATGGCCAGAGCAACACAGACATTCACAGCTACATGCTTCTTTATTCTTGTAGTCTTACGTTTATTTGATAGGTGTCTGATTATGTCCAATCATTAAGAATAATATTACACACACACACACACACAAAAAAAAAGGGACCATCTTTGGCTGGTGTTTAACAGAGCGCCTGCTCCAAGCCAGAGAGACTCCACAATTGGAAAGGTCAGGTCAGGTCTGGCTAAGGTCAAGCCTTTGCCATCACCCATATTTCCTAAGATCTGTATGCACACCTGACGCCCCCCGAAAAAATTATTGTGACACTCAAGCCCTCTTTCAAAGATATTTTTTCATAATGCTGATTTACTGTGATGGATTTCAAAACCTTTATCCTAGAATGAAAATATAGTGATATTTTAATCTTATAACTTTTTTCCATTAATTGAAATGAAAAGCTGAGTCTGGATGTTACCAGCTTCCAATGAACTTTCTTAAGTTTGATGATCAATATGCCCAAATAATTATTAAAATGTATACTCAAGCTATTCCAACATGCTGCATTTGTTTTCCTGTTGTACACCCCTGGCAAGGCCTGAGTGTAAACTACAGCTCTCTCTGCCTGCCAAGTTTGGTTCTGTGAACAGAAAGTCATCAAAGTGAAAATAGTCATGGCAGCCACAGAAATATAATAACGCCAGCATTTCGTTGACCTCCAAGGAACCACGCAGTCCAAGCTGTTGAGAAACAGCACTGGTCTGGATCTGCACTTTTTAGCTTGAAACTGGCGCAGCTGCTGTTACCTTCTGGCATTTGTCTGTGTGCTGCGGTGCCACATCTCTCTTTACTTTGGCTGATGTCGATATCCGGCCCTCTACGTTTCACAGGTGTGGAGAATAGTCGGGTTGTCAAAACGCTAAACCCCAAAACCCGGCAAGCTAGATATGAAACCACTCAGACTACACTAGACCTTGGCCTAGTTCACATTCTCTATTTATTTAAACTCTTTGCCAAACAGGGGTCTCTTCCCTTGTTGAAAGTTTAGTCTGTGTGCAGGCCACTGGCACCGTCTACAGAAACAACTCCGTGCTCCCTGAAAACACAGCTGCAAACACAGTGTTGGGTTTATGGTGTCTATCAGTGTAATTACAGGTAAAATTTAAATACATACATCCTTATTTGAACCCTACCTGTACTCCTCTGTGTGTGGACTCAAGATTACTACAGTCATTACTGTAGTGTGGGAAATAAGTAACAATGCACTAACGCCAACTAAACTATGTCAAAATCTGACAATTCTAAAAGATCTTTTGCCACATTCACAGGCCTATTCTAGCCCAGAAGGTGATTCATTGGAGCAGATGACATATATTCTATCTAATGTCTTTAAAGCTAACAGTGATCATTTACATTTTCATTTATTTTAGAAAAGTAAAAGAGGCTTGTGAAATGTGAAAATTCATGAGCCCGGTGGCCGGTTTCCTGTTCAAGTTATCTTTGCCTAAAGTAACGACGTAGGCAGTGATCCCTCTCAAGTCTTATCTACATCTTAATTTGCATCATTTTAATCAAGAGTAAGAATATGAAACAGCTAGTACTCACAGTAGTTTCCCTAGAAATACAATAACCCTTTGAAGCAGGCTACCTATACTCAACATGTTTCACCGCACTTCAGCAGGCTACCTATACTCAACATGTTTCTAAGAAGTGTGTCACCACACTTTTGAAACAAATTTAGTAAGAAGTAGCAAACTATTAGCTTAAGATCAAGATCAGATATTGTAGTTATAACCTTCTCTCTATGCAAACATACACAAACACAGCAATTTCAAGTGCTGAAATGTTTGTGTGAACCCAATCTAACACCCATCATCAGCTCACCACACATGACTTAACCACTACAATCACACACCCACACACTGGACCAGACAAGGAGCCCACTTCCACATACAGAGCCAGTTCACTCGCTCACCCTTTCACCACAAGTCTGTTGATTCATCCCATTTTTTCATGTCATGTGCTTGTGCCTGCCCCTCCTCCACCCAGCAGCGTGTGCATGAAAAATGTAGACGAATCCCAGTATAAGTGAAGTGACCGCTCTCCCCCCTCTCTCTACAAACTGAGATTATTCACCATAGGTTTGGGCATTCACATTGTTTGTAAGCTTAAAATAATACAATAGAGGTTGCAGAAGTAAATATAGCAAACTGCTCTGTTGTAGAGAGTGAAAGGTTTAAAGTAGTTAAATGTGAATTAACTAAGACTTTACTCATTGATAAATCAAGTGAAAATGGGACAGCAGTGGTGACTGTTAACTACAATACCCACTATATGGCTCTGTGCTGCCTGAAATATTGAAATCTTTGCAAAAAAGAGAAAAATGACAGCATCATGTCTACAAATGTGGAGGTGGGAAGCTACAGAGATAACTTAAAAACATAGAAACAGATCTTAATCCTTTATCTTCCTCTTGCAATGCAATCATCTACACTGACAGGTTACTGTGTATTGTTGGCAATAAACCACAAAGTGTAAGCCCCTGGTCTGTAGGTGAAGGTCATAATTACACAAGCTGCCATCTTTCCCCACCAGGAGCAACGGGTATCATCAGCAGGATTATCGCTGTATAGCCACAGGACCACTGCACATGCTCAAGTGATCTTACCAACAATGACAATCTACTGTAAGCGCACAGAGGAAAAACAATGACCTTTGTGCACCTTTGATGCTGCACTGGACTGTTGTCAGTGGATTTTCTCTCTCTCTCTCTAAGTTTCTCCCACTCTTGTCCCACCCTTTCTCTCCTAGTGATCTTTTTATTTCTTCCGTCCACTTTCATCTCTATTTGTGCATCATCTTTACCACTGATCAAAGCCTTTAAAAGACCATATTGTACAATGAATCCAGGAACTTGGGAGTTCCCTTTGTTGTCGCCAATTTTGAAACAAATGTTTCACACACTGTAACCCCTCCACCCCCCATTTTGAGATAATCTTTTAATTTTATTCCCTTTAAATGGGGATAGAAAAAGAGGCAAAAAAAAAAAAAACTTTGTGGGCTGAGGCGTCTGGGGAGAAGTCCAATTAAATCTGCTTTTTCCCCCTCTTAGCACTCGTATCCAAATAAAAGACCAGTCCAGTTGGAGTTAATCAGAATGTCCCCATTGTGACTGAATGGTGAGTCAGTGTCTTTACATGTGTGTGAAGCCTTTCTTTCATCTGGGATTGTTGGCTGGCCGTGATGTCGACTGTGACACCAAGAGATGACCTGTGCCAACATGGTACTGACTGATACAGTCATCATCATCTCTCTCTCATATATACACACACACACACACACACACACACACACACACACAACTTCTCTTGCATGTACCATCCTGAGACATGAGGTACTCACACAGACACACACCTCTCATTGTTGAGCAGCTAACAATAGCGTGCAGTGAGGCCTGGGATGCTCAGACAGCTTGCATCAGTCACAACCATTCTTCAACAAGGATCACTTAGCTCCTCTGGTGTTTCAGGGGATTTCTCCTGTTTTGAGTGTTACAGAGAAGTACCAAAAGTGGGAATGGGATAGAGAGAGATGTGAGAGAGGCCATGGGAAAACATATACCGTATATGTTTATATACACTGTATCCCATGGAACAGACATCCCACCTAGATGTCAATGACAGAAAAAGATGAAGTAAGAATATGGGTGAGATGTCAGTACAGAAGACTCCAGGACACCAACTCAAGGGATGAGGTAGTTATGACAATACTTAGAGTAACATGGATTAACAATGTGTGAAACTATGCTTAGACTTATAGTTACCAACTGTACATGTTCAAGGTTTCCCCATTGTATTGTATAGCAAAGGTAGGCCTCCTCGTTAAAAACAATAACCAACATTATAAAGAACTTATACATTTTGTGCTTTTATTTTATAGAATTA